AAAACACGCTACTTCTTTAAATTTTATCAAGAGTGCTCCCCCTGCGAGGTGCAAAAGTACGCACAATTACCCTTGTAAGGGTATTGGTGCCGACAGTTTTTCCGGACCCTATTAAGCGACGTCCCCGTCGCGTTGAACAATCAAATGCTATAAGCACTCAAAATCCCACCTGCTGACGAGGTAGTAACCATTCCGACTAGCCGGCTCGACTCTGTTAGAGGCATCTTGTCAATCTATTCCAGTCACGGCGTTCCACTGCCAAGGTTTTAACCTGGGTCTCCCACATCCTGGCCTAGGAGTTAGGGTGTACTGTCATCCGTACTACAACGTAATACCCGCTTCCAAGTAGTAGATTGATAGCCTTCCTCCCTTCGTCGTAGACATCTGCCGGTTTATCGTTGGGTGTCCTAATGAGTCATCATCCCGCGTACGGGGTCATAACTCAGGACGCGGGCCCTAACCGAGACCTCTCTAAAAAACCGGGGCACCTTTAGTCCCCAAAATGATAATTTTTACCATCTCAAATATCTCTCATAATAACTGCCCACCTGGTGTCTACACAGGAGGTTTTCAGGTCTCCATCTTGGCCCACCGCAGAACGGTCGATCACACCGTATCCACGGCTCATCACGTTGTTATATAGCGATGATGCCCTCGTTGGTTGTGCAACGATAGGCGTACTTACCGGCTCTCAGACTCATTCAACCCCACTGACTCCCCCCCCTAGCTATACCTCTCCGGGCGGCCGACCCTTGAAGATTTAACCATTGGTGAGTCGTGGTCCCGCTGCCAGGTTGCGCCGGTCAGCGACCCTCGCTGGGAGTTAGGTTCTACAGTTCCATCGATGCTAAGTATAGCCCCTTAGCTTGGCCTCACAAAATATGTCCCCCTAGACTAACCATTGTGGTCTGGCAAATAGCTCTGGACAACCTCTAGATTCACTTACCCTCCCAACCTCGGACTATGTGGGAGGATAGTGTCCCTTTCTCTCTTAGTTCCAGCAACTTCCTCTCTTATCCACAAGGTCGTGCCCTCCTTTACTTTGATCAGAACAGGCGGCGGTCACACGTCTTAGGGACACCTCACAAAAGTCTCTCATCATAATTGCCAGAAAATTCTCATCCATAATTCTCACAATGATTTTGGTCTTCCCTCGTCAGACTTTCACTCATACATACAATTTCCTCATCATTATAGCAACTTATTTGAGTGCTCCCTCATAGTTCCACTCTTATATATATGTGGAGAACTCAATGGCCATTGAGTCTCCTTCTCTCGTTCTCTTTTGAACCACACAAAAAAGACACAACTTTTAATTGTGACCTCTCCATTTATCATCACTCAACTCCTTTTCAACTCAACACATAATTCCTTCTTCCAAACAGACGTGAGGTGCACTCTCTTTCACTGTACTTATGACTTTGTYTGTTCTAATGCAGATATGCCTAAGTACAGAGGAAGATAGTGCAGATCMGGTCATTTCCACAACATTTATTTCTCGTCACAATAATCATTCATATGGGCAAGCCCACAACTGAGAGTGAGCGTGACACACCACACAAAAAAGAAAGAAGTCTGAGATTCGCACAAATACACAGAACATGGGGACCTTGCAAATAAGCAAAGGTTCCAGTCCATATCGAAAGGATCAAAATATCGTACAAAAGAAATCAAATATCATACAAAGTACCGGGGTATCGTACCAAGTGTCACAGTATCCAACCGAAGATCAAGGTACCTAAAAAAAAGTCAAAATATCCAAGAAAGTCAAAAAGCAAAAGGGAGCCAAAGTATCCACACCTCACATCACTTACACACTGTCTGACTCACCCTGCTCTGAAAGAGAAAGAATCATAAACTCACACAGAAGCACTACCTAGAAACACTCCACACCACACAAAAAAAAAGAAAGGAAAGCCGAAGTAGTCAGTGTCACACTCAATATTTTCCTATGTACGCTAAGTCTGAAAGTCTATATGCGAAAGTAAACATCTTTGTAATGACTCAATTAACTGATGTACATGGGCGTGATCCAATCCTCCATGTGTTYTCCTATATACAGTCATCCATCAGTAGTGAGTCAGAGATGCTCTACATATGTCAGAATCTAGACTTTTCCGGACCCTATTCGTAAATCCTACTCCTGATCACTCATGTCCTCCTGCAGTTGCCTATACAACTGCGCTCGTATCCCATCACGAGTCTTCAGGATCAGGTTCCCATTTCTGTCCCTGCGTACGCCAGATGGGTCCCATGAAAACAAACCATCGGCCTCATCCTTGAGGCTTTTGGGACAGGCCTCCTGTGGGTGCTTGCCTCTCTTGCAGTAGAAGCATCTTCCAAACTTTTTCTGCTCCATCTTGTCAGCTGCATTGGAGGGTACAGATGAGGGGGCTGCTGTGGCCTCGCTGGTGACCTCCTGCTGTGGGTGCTCTGGGGGAATGGGGCATGCTGATCTATCATCCGTTTGGGCCATCTGCTGACTCATTCGTTCCTCTGCCCCGGATCCAGTGGCCCAAGGTCCCAGTGCATCCTCCAGACCTGCAACTAGGGGCATATCTTGAGATGGTGGGGTCTTCCGAGGGACCTCCCGCTCCTCCCTCTCCTCAGCCTCAGCTATGGCATGTCCCACACTCTCCTGAAACTCATGTCTCCCCACAGTCTCCTCTTGAGTCATGGGAAGTGCAGCCTCATCCATCGCATCCTCTGCTAGTGGCCTCGCCTCATGTGCCAAGACTGTGGGCATCCTCCACTCAAACCCCCCGGTTCGTGACTTCATCCTTGCTAGGGCGTCCTCAGGCTGTAACATCTCTTTATCTAGTAGGGGGATTTCCTCATCCTTCTGTTCGTTTGCCCTCTCTTCCACCTTCTGACACTTGAAGGCCTCTTCTGCAGGCTGCTTCCTGATCTCAAACCTCTGGACCTCTGTCCAGTCTACTACTGCAATAGGTGTCTGCTGTGCACACTTGGCCTCAAGGTCCATGATTCTCTTTTCCCACTTCGCCTCCTTTACTTGAAAGGTGTTCTGCTGTATCTGCAAGTAGGCCCTCAGATTGTCATTGACCTTGTTAAGGGTCTGGTTGACCTGTCTGATGGCCTCGTTGCCTGCCCAGGCCTTCTCCACCTCAGTCTTCATGGCTTCCATCTCCTTGTCCTGCCTCTCCAACTCCTTCTTGAGATCACCAATTTCTTTTTGTCAGTCCATTCTCTGCTCATGAGACGCCCGCGCCACCCTTGTTAACCTCTTCTCCATCTTTTCATCAGAAGTCTTGGCCGCCGCAAAACCCTCCTTCGTAAGGCCCTTCAGGCTAAGCAAGTCTGTAGAGACCAGCTTAACCCCCATCTCCTGATGCTGCTCCCTGGGCCTCCCTGTTGCCTCCAACAACTTATCAAAGTTGTCCCAAGCCTCTGTGAAAAGAGGAGTCTCATCGTCTTGAGTAGGTGAGTCATTCCTCTTTCTGCCTTCTAGTATCACAGGCTGCTCTCCCTGCTCAACCTTCTCGTGCAGCTCCGCAATGTTCTTGAGTCTGATTTGGACTCTGATTTCTCTCTCTACTGCCGCTCTCTCTTCCTTGTCCTGTTCCTTCTCTTTTGCAGCCTGATCCTCATCCTTTCCCTGACCCTGTGCCCTATGAGACGTCTCTGGCTGCATGCCTGACCTAGGAGTGGTCTCAGGTACCTGAGCAAGGTGAGGAGGTATATCTGATCCACCTGAGGGCCCTCTCCTCTGGGTCCTCTCTGCAGTCTGCTCCTCTTTCTGTTGAGTCTTGCCAATATGATGGTCCTCCCCTCTCTCCTGCCTCTGGGACCTGTGCTCTCTCCTCTGGCCATCCCTCTGAGCTCCTGAGGTCATGCCCTGCTCAGAGGTTCTCCTGTTTGTAGTTTCTGGCTCCTTCCTCTTTCTCTGCACACTCCTCCTCTCCTCTGCATGACGAGCTGGAGTATAGTAGTTCTAGAGCAATTTCTTGCAATGGCCCCAGTTTGTGGCAGACTCCACAATAGATCTGACGAAGGACCTGAGGTGTTCCCTTACAAACAGAATAAAACCCCTCACCCTCTGGCTTGGTGGCTCGTTGATGCTGTCTGCAAACTCATCGTAGCCCTTCAGGAATTCCTACAGGTTAGTGGCATCGAAACGGATGGGTTGTCCATCCCTTCCTAATGGCGATGGGTACAAGCCCTCCATCTTCCTCTCAAAATCCTGCCAGGTCAATAACTCCCTGACGAAGTTGCCAAGGGGCTGTGCCCACTCGCCTGCTCCTTGCACCTCCCGCAGCAGCCTGCTACTATCCCATCCAAACTCATGACCGTGCCTTCTGAACCCAACCATGAACAGCTCAACGTTGTCTCCTGTATAAATAAGTGGACTGTCCTCTCTCCTGGCCCTCATTTGCGTTCCCTGTCTGGTAACCCCCAGAGGGGTCTCCACTGGCCCTGCCCCTCCCCTCCCTCTTGGCATGGCTGCCCAAAAATTGGTGTCAAGCCTGCACAACAAGGAAGAGACAAACAAAAGCACACAAAGGGTAAGCAGGTTCGGCAAACAAAACAGGAGACAGACATTCCCCTCCCATATCTATCTTAACTACATATACATACATGTGTAAATACACGCATATAAATCTATCTTAATACCATACTCTATCACACCATTCTACTGAGAAACATACACAATTTTCTCATATTTATATATATATCTCTATCTAGTAATACTTAACAGAAAGGGACTCTTAATTGTAGGACCCATGCTCACCTCGTCTCGAGCGACAAACTTCTTCAACCTCGAGCCTGACACCCAATCTTTCCAGGCAATCCCATTCAGCTCTTCAATCTGGTATGTCCCATGCTCTCCACTCCTCGCGACCCTGTATGGTCCTAACCACCTCTTGTCCAACTTTCGCGACCACTGYTTCTCTAGGGATGAATCATATAGCAACACAACGTCGTCCACCTTGAGAGGCTCCTTCCTTACCCTTGCCATCTTATCCCATCTGAGCTTATCCCTCTGTCGGCTGTCAGCCACCTTACTCGCCGCACTTTCAATTCTGTCCTCTATGGCATTAATCTGACGAACCCTTAGTTCTAGCAATTTCTCAAATGACAAGTTTGTCTCGAGGTCCTGCCGCCTCCAAGTCTTTAGGAAGCTTTCGATAGGAAAGATCGCATGTCTGCCATACCACAACGTTGCTGGCGCGTAGTTGGTGCTTCTTCTGACAGTGATGTTATCCACGAAGAAGGCAACCCTTAGGAAGTTAGGCCACTGATTTGGCCTACCATTCGTCCACTTAGCGAAGAGATTCGTAATCGTACTATGACCCCTCTCCACAGGTGCATTAGCTTGAGGGTGCCCCGCAGTAGTATACTCAACGATCACTCCATACCCTCTCAGCAGTTCTTTCACCTCAGCACAAGTGAATTCGGACCCTCTGTCCATTACGAATTTGGAGACAAAAGGATAGCGGAGGTAATAYTCCTCAATGCATCGAGCCAAGGTCTCACCAGTTTTTGTGTGTATGGCTCTGCCATCCACAAAACCGGAGAGGTTGTCTCGTGCATCGAAGATGAAGTTATACCCACCTAYTCCCAGCGGCATTGCCAATAAGTCCAAATGCACGACCGCCCCAACCTCGCGTACGTACCTTGGGTGAAGCGGCTCCCTAGGTCTAATGGAAGACCGCTCCTGGCATGGAACACATGACTTGCAATAATCGTTGATCATTCGTCTCATGCCATCCCAATAATATAGCTTGTGTATTTTGAGGAAAGTTGTATCCTTACTCCTATGGCCACCTGCCTAACCATCATGTAGAGCAGCTATGACATCGATCTGACGAGCGATGCCACAGACTACCCTTCTTGGAGTCTTCCCTTTACTCCTCATAAATAGATGGCCATCCCTTACCAAGAAGTTTGGTCGCATCTTGAGAACTTTCTCGCATGCATCTCTTTCTCTCATTTCGCACGAAAGGAGCATTCCTAATTCCAGATATATCCCGTCATACTCCTCAGTGCGAAAAGCCTCTTTTATCTCTCCTTCTTCAAAATCGTCGTCGTCTCCTTCGTGAACTATATTCTCATTCTCACCTTGCCGCTGATCCCCAATCCTTGCCACCTCGTCTTGAAGCAGAGCATTTGCCAAGAGGTATATCCCACCTATCGACCTCTCGTGCCCTTCTACCTGTTGTGCCCCATTTTCCATTGTGAGTAGGTCTTCGTGCAACTGGTATTTGTCTGCTAAGGCCAGATCCATCATCCACTGCACGTTTGGCATCCCCCACGAGTCCTCTTCGATGAAAGGCTTAAAGACTAGGTCTGACCGTTGTACATGTCCTGGAGGCGAGAGCCACACAGGTTGCCCAGGAATAACGTAGTTACCCACGACCATCGACCAGGAGTTGATGTGAAGTCTCACATCCTCCTCAGTATCCAGAAACCCGTCAACTGGCGGAGTATCCTCGATCACTCCTTGATTATTTTTGTCCCAGTCGACTCGACTCAATCCGTCTGCTCTATTCTTATTTCCTGGAATTCGCTCTAATTCAAAATTGAACATCCAGATGTATGTTAACCACCTGGCGATAGTCGGGTCTGATGGAGCGAAATTCTTGAGAGAACCGGCTAGAGCAGTTGGGTCCACCCTCAACACGAACCTACTGCCGAAGAGGTAGTTTCTAAAGATCCTTAAGCAATGGAGAACCGCCAAGGTTTCGCGCTTAAACTGAGAGTAATTTCTTTCAGTTGTGTTAAGCGTGCGACTTTCAAACCTTAGTGGCCGCTCCTCTCTGTTAAGGTCTTGCTGAATCAACACACCTCCTAGCGCAGTTGGCCCTGCATCAGTCTCGACAAAAAAAGGTCTGGTCATTACCGCCGAGTGGTCCGGTACTCCCAGTACTAGACCCCCTTCTTCGAATTCCTTCTTTAGGCCCTTTATTACCAATTCCTGCTTATCTCCCCATTCCCAGTCTTGTCATTGGCGCACGAGCTTTCGAAGTTGCTCCGTCTTTGCCGCAAACCCTTTTATGAAGATCCTCCAGAACCCACATGTCCCGAGGAAACTTCTCACCTCCGTAATAGTCTCGAATGGGGTTGGCCATTCGAGAATCTTATTGGTTTTCTTAGTGTCTGGTCGACGACCCCTCTCGTCGCACACAAACCCCAAGATGGTTGCCCTGCTCATGCAGTGCCTCGATTTAGACCCACTTGCAGTAAGGTTATGCTCCTTTAGCAAGTCCAGGACCCTGCACAAGTCTTGCACATGGTTCCAGACAAAGCGTCTAATCCCTGGCATTACCTCCTGCTTGTTCTTCTCTTTAGGCCCTTTTACGGCCAAATCATCAATGTAAGACTAATGTGAGGGCTTACTGGCTGCATTGCCCTCACCATGTGCCTCTGGACCATGGCGACTGCATTTGTCCACCCCTGCGGTGCGACGTTCATATGAATTAACCCTCGAGGGGTATGCATTGACGTCATCGGCCTGTCAGAGGGGTAAACAGGAAACTGGTCGTAACAAGAATATAAGTCTATGAGAGATATGATGGCTCTCCCAGCGCATGCCTCTGAAAGCGCATATGCGTTAGGGAGACCACCTGCATCTCTCACAGTTACAACATTCAGGCGCTGCAAATCCTGTACCCACCTCAAGGTCCCGTTTGGTTTGACGAAACAAAACCAAGGGGATGCATATGGCCCACTCGAGTAATCTGATACGTGCGTACGAATTTTCCCATCAAGGTAGCTAACTACCTTTTCTTCATCAGCAGGATTAGGATAGCGCGCACCCCGCAAGTTCCATGGCTCGTAGGGAACGGTATGTATCCTAATCATCGGGATTCTATCCACGTCCAGACGGCCCCGTTCATCATCATTGAAGGCATATGCAGTATGCCTTCCTCTGATGGTTTCCACCATAAGCTTCTCCTCTTGCGCCGTAAGGAAGCCGGGCTCCCCTATAATCAACGTCTTTTCTGTCTCAGGAGTGATACGACATGGCCCATTCTGTGCGTCCTCTCGCATCTGCCGTATCAACTCTCGTTCCCGCTCATAATAAACTTCTTGTTCCTCAGTCACGAGCACAGGAACAGGGCGACATTTTTTATCTACTCTTTTGTACCGCCTTTGTGACCCTTGCTTGAGCCCACCCCTAAAAAAGGCCGAGTTGCACTCAGGGKTTGGGCTCCTGCCGATCSTCCTCTCTTTCCGGGCGTCCGATATACCAGCTCCACCTCTCCTTCACCCATTTGTTCCATCACCTTTTCTCTCAAGGCCTCTACGGCCTCCATGTCCGCCATCCCATAGGTTGACACTATGTCCATAGCATCGCCTATATTGGTCAGGCTAAGAGTCAGTGCTTCCGGATTCCTTTCTTCTTCAAACTCATCTCCTCCTAGCCTCTTCCTTTCTTCTTCCGATTCCTCAATCGTGAAAGAGCCAGGATTGGGCMTATTCCTTATACTTCGTGGCCCCGTATTTTTGCATGTGATAACCTCATAGTTGCCACATACCGGGTCACATAAGACGAGGAACATTGTCCCATCATGCTTATTCAGTATGACGGTCTCCGTTCGGCTCAAAAAAGATCGGCCCAATAGGATGGGATGGTCGAGATCGGGCATCACAAAGAAACAGCTTCTCACTTTAACCTTGCCAATCTCCAAAACCACTCTCGATGCGGTCCCTATGAACACAGGCCGACTATTCGCTCTCATTAAAACTCCATTATCGGAGCGATCAATCTCCATCCCCAGGCGTAAAGCATGCTCCTCTTTTATGAGGTTCATTTCCGCCCCAGTATCCACCATTGTCGTGCACATTTTTCCTTTTACTACTACGTCCAAGCATCCACAAGCGACGGACTTCCAATCCATCTTCGTGCCTGTCTCTGCCCATTTCCTTTCCTTGGGGATAATGGTTCCCAAGCGCACACTTGCTACTAACCTTCTGGACAATCGAGCCTTCAACTCGTCCCTCAATTTTGGAACGGAAGCGAGGATATCCTTTAAGTTCATTAGGTCGTTATGGCCCTCAAGGAGTCGATCGACCATTCCTTCAACGTCAAACCCCTCCCCCATTCTGACCTTATACTTTCTCTTCTTTCCCTCCTGCTCTTTATCAGCGCTCGCTTTGGCGCCCCTCTTCTTGGCTCTCTCTTCAGCCTTCTTGTCCTCTTCCTTCCTTAACTTTTCATCCTCGTCCTCGTCATCCTCTGGAATATCTACCATCTTTTTCTCTTCACAGGGTCCCGGGCTGTCCTGAGTGGGCTGGCTTGAGTCGGGCGCTCCCTTCGATCTAGTACGTGTTGCCAAAACCGCCCTTCCGGCTCTTAACGGTGGCCTGAAGGTCATCCCAGACCTAGGAGTTGGCGCCGTGACAGTCACTCCGGGCAGATTTCCACATCCACCTTGTGCCCCTGGGCCTGAAACAATACGGTACACCAATGGTAACTCTCCTTTCCACATGTTGACCTTCTCACAAAGAGTGGTCAGCTTATCCTGGTACCTTCCGATTTTTGCCAGCAGGTCCTCCATTCTCTCCATCGTGTCTCTTGCCCTTCCGTGGCCACCATCTTGCTCGTCGTCGTCGGATTCAACCACTTTAGACTCCTCCTTTTTGGTGCCGACCCTCAATCTCTGCTCAACCTCTTCATTCTCGCTTATCTCCTCTATCCTCACACCCTGACGGTCTTCTACTTCCTGCCAAATACGGAAAGCGGCCGGAGGAGCTGGTGGAGCTGGGGCACTAGCACGGCGTAGAGCTTCTTCCCGTATCCCCCCTGGGATTCTCGGGTCTATGCACTCACCGTACATGTCGAAAAAATCACCATCATAGCTTGAGCTCATCAGGCCATCCTTTTCATCACTCTTTCGGACCTGACAGAACTTAATTGTGTGGCCCTTCTGACCACAATGCCAACAGATGGCACTTCTCCAATCTACCCTTCCTCTTTCATATCCTCCACTACCTTGCTGGTCACTCTGACTCCCCGCACCGCTCCACCCGTCACTTCTTCCTTTCTGGGAGTTACTGTTCGCGTTTCCTCTCCCATATCCCCCTCGGCTACCATTTCCTCGCCCTCGGCCCCATCCTTGATTCTGTCCTCGTCCACCACCTTGATTCCCTTGTGATCCTTGTGGGGCCAACTGCTGAGGTTGGTTTGGCGGTGGGTTCGAGTGACTCACTTGTTGAGACTGGGGTCCCGGCCATCCACAGGGAGCCGTACTCACCGGCGTTCCGGCACATGATCCATACGGCCCACCCGTTGGCCATGGTGCACATGAACAGTGCCCATGCCAATGACTGGGACGTCCACAACCTGGCCATGACCCATAGGGTGCTGGTGCGGCTTGACTAGACGATTCAGGGGGTGGCGCCGCTACAGCCTGCGGGGCTTGACCTTTTCCTGAGCCTTGCCCCCCTTGAGTCATGTTCCTTGCCTTCCTTTGAGCCTTTGTCAACTTTTGTGGTTCAGGCTCTTCTTCTTCTTCCTCCTCCTACTCTGACACTACCACCTTCTTTCCTTTCCCTTGGGCTTGTGGCGCCGCCATAACCTTCTTTCTTGTCTCCTTCTCTACATCGTGCTGGGCCACAGCCTCTTCTATCATTAGCTTGAAGTTGCGCCCATCACTAGCGATAGTATCCAAAGTCTTCCTTTTCTTCCTAGCCTGTTTCATCTGGAAGATGTCTACCTGGTTCAACTCTCCCTCTAGCACGCCTTCTTTTATGGCACCCCAAGTCAGTTTATTTCCTGGCGCAGCTTTCTTGGTAAGCGACGAGGCTTCCCAATTCTTAAAGTGCCCCAGGAAAGTGGCACACTTTTCTTCTTCTGCCAGCCCTGGGACTTTTTTTGCCATCTGCTCAAATGCTTTGGCAAAGGCCCCTACCATGGAGAACTCATCCCGTCTCAACATTTCCAGGTCTGTTTTTGTGAGCAGGTCGTCCCCTAACTTGAAACGCCTCTGCATCTCCTCTTTAAACCTTGCCCACTCACCATTTACGCCGGCCGCTACTTTCATTACCTCATGTCTAAGCTCCCACCATACGTACCTAGGCATCAGCTTGAATTTGTCTGCTTCTGACGCCTCGCTAGTGACCTGCTCCAACAATTCAAGCCACTCGGACACTCTATCCCCGTTGAAATGAAAAATAATAACCTTGGGCACCTGAAGCCGTGCCATCTCTCTTTTTTCCAATGCCTTGACGAAGTCCTCAGGTGTAGCACCCGGGCCCCGCTCGATTCCATCGGAGTCCGGCATCTTTGTCCTTTCTCAAAACCTGTTGCGAAAAAAACGATTTCGACAAACAACCTGCCGTCAAACCTCTAAACTCTCTAGTTCCATTATTCAATCGGACATACTTTTAATATCTAAGGTAGTCTATCCGGCCTTTATATCGTAATTCCAACTCTATTATTTTAAACGAATACACACAAGGCACACTCTCAACCTTACTCGCAAYCAAAAATAAATTTTGATAGGCCATCGAAGATAGCACAATACTCATATCATCGTCAAACTTCTTCATCAAGGGTTGTCGTTTTGCCTGGATCATCTGCCTGCTCTTAACCTGGGTTCATTCACTGTGGACCCCGGTAGGCAGCCGAGATCCCCGGCAACGGCGCCACCTGTCGAGCGCATCGGTCCCACACGGGGACCCTCCCGGCCGCGTCACTAACTAGGCACAGCAAAAGCGAAAGAGAGAGCGGGAAAGACGAAGCTCAAGAAGAAAGATATAGTTACAATGGCGCCTGCCCAAAAATTACAGTTACGCACGAGATTAAGGGCACCGACTAATCAGAGCTCCACTGCAGCCGCAAAAAGAAGCGTGCAATTACAAGCAGCGCGCGGCGAAAGAAATCCCAAATTCCTAAACTTATTGTAAAAATAACCTTAATGAAACGCAAATTCTGAAAAGAAAGTCCGAAATTCCGAGAGTCGTCAATGCTCGACAAGATTCAAAAAGAAAAGTAAAAAAGAACGAAGCAAAATTCCCGCACGAGCTTCGCGCCTAAAACCCGACAGCAGAACCAAAAGGAAGCGACGTGAAACATTATTATTCGCGTCTTTGTCGACGCGACAGCCACTCAATCAGCCATCTCAGGACTTGGATAGCGCATCCTCCACGAAAACTGGGAATCAGCAATAGCAGCGAGGTGAACCTCAAACCCATTGGCCTCTGCTCCCTCTTCTACTCAATTCTTCTCCCTACCTCCCAACACTCCCCTACCGACCTAAACAGCGGACACTCGGAGGCGGAGAATTGTCTACATGTATCTAGATGGAAAGCTAACTAAGAGGGTCTCGAATACTACGGACCTCCCCTAAAAAAAAGAAAAGAAAAGCAATAGTAATAACTCTGCACAGGCCAAGCTGTGTCAAATAAAGGTCACTGCTCTATAGGCCTATGGCTCAAGCCCCTCAATGAATATTTATTAGCCTTGCATAGGAGCCATGCTACTCTTCTCTGTATCGTTCCAATTTTAACGA